ATGACAAGGACAAAGATGGACAAAGACAATTAACTTAGTTTCTCATGAGCTTTGTGCAACGTACAAGGTGATGACTTGAAAGCAAACCCCAGCAGCTTGAGATATATAGCAGTTTAAGTGGGTTGATGTGATTTCTTATCTACAGTGAAGCATTAGGCAGCATCACACTGACAGCAGCAAAAGGTTACCTGTTTTCAACCGGAGAATTCATTTTTAGCACCTTAGCAGGGAGGTTGTGTTCATTGCCTATTTGTTATTAGCTTCACTTTTAAATATTTTTTTCCTAAATAAATATTTAAGCAATCTATGGCAATCAATAAAAGAGGTGGTTGACATCATACCAATTGGTTATCAACAGAATTATAGATGTTCATTATCATTTTTTGTCAATATGCCTAGCACCATTTAAAAAGTAGTAAGAAAATGACAGGACCATTTTAAGATATGAAGAAATAAGGAATTGCTAGGAACTTTTACATGACATTTGGAATTTATTTTGGTTATGTAGCATAGAAAGAGCACACTGCATTAATGTTTTTTCCCCTATTTTTAAGATAAGGAGGGATGGGCCAAGTAGGGGCACACAGCCTAGAGTTCACCTTTTCTTAGGTGAAACTGACATTGAAAGGTTAGCTGTAGGACAGAGGTAAACTGCTAAATTCATAGCTTATGCTAATAAAGGAATCTCACTATGGGGACTAAACGTGCAAGACAGTCGCTTTCCTACAATGCCATTTTGATTAGTTTCAAGGCATCCGCCTTACACAGGTGACATTTTGATCTGTCAAAGGAGCAGGGCCAACACTGCAAAGCACCAGAGGAGCTAAGTCTGTAAGGTTACAGCTTGCTTAAAACAGTTTTACCATAATGTGGTTGGGATAAAAGTAACCCACAAAAAACTGTTCTTAATCCTCAGACTTATCAGCATGCTTTCTCCAGACCACAAAGAATTTTTGACCACTTCAAATTGTGAACACAGGAAAACCCTACTGTATGTGTGCAACCACACAGAGATGTCCACAGACACACAGATGTTGGATAGCAGTCCCTTCCAGATCAAGCAATTAACTGAAAAGAATTAGGAGATGAGATGCTACATTAATAAGTACAAAACTAATAGTAAATAAGCAATAAGTACCATCAAAAAAAGCATTGGGGAGATGGACATTTCTTTCAGACTGGTAAGAGGATGGAATGGAATATGGGCAATAAAAAGGAAATAACCATCTTCCTGAGAATAAACAGTTGCATATAAAAGGTGGGAGTAGTCACTAAAGCTGACTATAAACCATTAATTGCCTCTTAAAACCCATGTGGCAGACAGATTTTTTTTTTTCTCTCTCCAGTCTTAATATTGTATATTGTAAAGTGAGATTAGGAAGAACATTGTTTGAGAAAATTCTCTACAGCAGCTGAGAGAAGTGCTGTGGAAGAAAAATCTACATCTATACTATATCCATATCAATTTGTCCTGAAAGCATTCACCAAGAACAGAAAATGGGGACTGAAATTGTCAGAGCATCTGCCCAGGAAGAGGCCCTTTAGAAGTGAATTACAGAAGCAAGGAGTAAACCATTAGAAATGCAAGTGAGAATTTTGAGATTAAATGCATTTTTATTTTAAGACTGCAGGATGATTATTTCTAAAGTATTACAGAAGATGTGATCTCCTGCATTCCCCATCATCCACAAGAAGTTCAAAGACACTTTATATTGAACTCAAATGAACAGTAACATCGAGGAATTACTAAGGCTCTTTGTATTGATAAAAATAGACCTATAGCTTGAACAAGTTCATGCTAGTTCCACCAAAGATATCTTGCATAAAGCATTACGTACAAACAAAAAAATATGTACTTCCAATACATTATTTTGTCAAAATATCTTTGCTAGTAGGTACTATCAACAAGCAATTTCATCACACTCATCAAGTAGATTAAGTGACCTGCTATACCCCATCAGTAATAACTGACAATAAACAAGTGTTTATAATCTAGGGTAGAACTTCTGAAGTTCAGTTCAGATTAGATATGTTGTCCTTCACTATACTCATCCCATTTGCCCCTTAATATAGAAAACTTTTTAAAGAAGGTAACATTTTGAAATGTGACAGAGACCCCAAGTCTCATCAAGACAATTTCATTAAGTGCCAAAACAGTGCCGATGATCTATGTTACGGATTGGTGGTATTTTTACAACCTAAAGCTAATGCTTGCCTCATCATTTGAGGTCTGAAGCTGTACAGAGAAAAAGTAAAAACAAACTCTAAGACAACAGGCCAAACATTTTTAAAGATATTAATTTCCCCGAGACAAACTGTAAGACCACGGCAGTGAGTTGCCATACCATGACAGGTTTTGCACTAGTGCCAGGTGAACATGTACAGCATCCATGAATCCTATAGGTCTTGGACAGAACAGGTAAAAAAGGCTGCTTTTGTTGACACAGATGTAATGGACTTAAAGCTATAGTAGGGATGTTTCAGCCACACCTTACAAATACCCTGGACACCACAGAATTTTTTGAAATTTTGCATTAGGGAACAACGTTACAAACACCCAGAGAGAAAAGCATGGTCTGCTGTAGCTTTGTAAGGTTTTCCAAAATGCTCTTAAAGTAGCTAGAATTAAAACTGATGTTACCACCCTTGGAGTGTTATGGCAAAACACTAATTACCAGAGCTGATACAGAGCAGAAAAGATACCTTTGATACTTCTTGGCATTGAGAGATTACTGAACTACAAGTTTAGCAGTTGGACAGCTTACACTAGACGCATATAGTATTTAAACACACTATTTACACAGGTCTGTACTGAGAATGCAAAACAATTGTGTATTGTAATTCTATTCTTGGAGCAGATCCAAGAGGCAGCAAGGTGCTATTCAGCAGTAGCTAGGAGTACAGGAAGGCAGATAAGCATGGTTTCCACCTGGGCTCACTGCTGGACACTTCAGTTGCCTAGCTCATCCAGAGGCCCCTGAAAGCTTTTGATCAAAACCTTCCTGTGACAGAACAATTAAACTTGGTCTATTTCCTTATGTTGCACACTGGTATGTAGCTTCTACACTTGCTCATCTGCCTCTGCTGTGATAGACCTGCTTTGCATGTTTAGTAAACAATCTGGGGGACAATGCAAACCTTCAGTAATATTGCCTCTTAGGGAGAGAAACACTGAAGTTGCAAAAAACTGACATGCCAAGGAACAATAAAATTCAGTACTTTTCTGAATTCTAAGATGTATATTTACACCATAGAAGGAACAAGTCTGGATCCTATGAATGAATCAGCTTGAATGAACACCTGTATCTGCATAGAGCCCCGTAGGCACCAGTGAGACATCTCCTGGTATACAAACTCTTCACTCTGAAGCTAGCTGCAGGATCAGGCCTGTATTTCCATTGAACCCTGAAAGTGGAAAGCCATTGCTATTTTGCTTTTTAGCCTGTGTGATTCAGTTGGGTTGCCTAGAATTACAAGTGTTACAGATGGTCAGCTGAAATGCCATTGTACAATAATAAATATATTTGGCCATTTGATGGCAGTGTTAAATAGTGCATCACAAGATACTGGTAAGGTTCAGGATTTTGCTCTTGGGACCACACACATCTCTTGCAGCTTTCCTTCCAGGACTTTTGCTACAGACCACCTTCCTCTCCCACCTTTCTTTTTCTTACATAAAATAAAGCAAAAAAACTGTCAGGGATACAATGTGGATTAATTATCTAAGAGAACATGTTGAAATAACAGCACATATTGTTTGTTCACAGACACCTCAGTAGTTTGGATGACTTGAGGCTCCTACTGTAACATTCTAGGTCACACCATCAAATTAAAAAAAAAAAGTGAGCCACTGATAGACAAATAATCCGCAGTTAGAAATGGTCTTCTTAAAGAAACCTTTCCTTTCTCCAAGTCTAACAACAAAAAACAGCCTTTAGCAAGAGGTCTAGCAGAAAGATTTGCTTTTCACTCTTGAACAGCTCCAAAGTGCCCAACGTCCAGCATATGAGTAATCACTAGCTCTGAACACATCATGCTAATAACAAAATAGCAACTTCTTAACTTCCAGCCAGTCTCTAACTACACTTACAGGTCCAACCACCCACCAGCACACCCTTCAGTCAAAGCAAATGATTCAGAGTGAACCATTTAATTGCAAGTTTTACCCTTTTTTGCATTTACAAGTTCCACACTATCACCCTTCAGATTTATTCATTGCACATAGTCATTAAGTGAATGTCATTAAGTGAATGAACTTAGGAATTAATCTACATGCGGGTTGCAACACCTGAGAATGAAACTATCTCATTCAGAGCCCATGCTTACCTTGGCCTCCCCAAAATTTCCCCAGCATGCAGGTGAATGCACAACACCTTGCAACAGCTGTGACAATTCTCATCTCAGCTAGTCTTTAGCCATAGCTGGCATGAACAACTGAAACTACTCCACTACAATTCTAAGAATAAGAGGGTGCTCACTGAGAAAATCCCTCCAAACACCTCACTTCTGTGTAGATCAGTAGCATTAAGCCCATAGATACTCCCAGCTTCAGGGAAAAAGGAGTAGCAAAAACAGACTTTCTAGTTGGCTTCCAGTTTGTGCATTATGTTTTGAATATATTAAAACAGAGTTTGGTAGTGTAAAGATGTACTTAAAGAGCAAGATTGCAAGTTGACTAGTTTACAGCCTGCAGGGGATTGGCCTTGGCTGGTCACCTGAGTGCCTCAGCCGCTGTAACCCCTGTACCCTTCCCAGGGAGAGAAAGCACAATGAAGAGAACCCATGAGGCAAGATAAGGACAAGGAGATCGCTTACACTACCCACCACAGGTAAAACAGATGTAACAACTGACATTTATGTTAGTTTATCACTAATTAAAGTGGTTTAACATAGTAAGAAGCAAAGACAAAAGTTAATATACCCCCCCCCCCATCTCAACCCTCCTCCTCCTCAGCTCTTCCTCCCACCTCCCTGAGGGCTGGGTCACCACACAACAGTACCTCTCTGTCGCTCTGTCCTCCTCACAGTTGTCCCCTGCTTCAGTGTGGCTGCTCTCCTCAGCCCACAGCTCCTCCAGGACAACCCTGCTCCAGCGCTATCTCCTTTCATCAGGCCGCAGCTCCTCTCAGAAGCCTGCTCTCGGTGGTTTCTCCTCAGACACAGGGCCTTCTCCAAGCTTAGTACTCACAAGGTTGTCCCCACCACATTTCTTACTATCAGTGAAGATCTTTCCCTTCCTTAAATAGATTTTCCATTGATGGGCCACACTTGGGGCTGATAGGCTCAGCTGTACCCTGTGGAACCTGGCCACTGACTAGGCCCCTCACAGCCCAGCCATGCTACTGGAGCTTTACCACAAACACCTGACGCAAAATCCTTTCCCTTTCAATAATCTAGACATCAAATAGAGCATAGACTCCTGAGACTAGTTAGTACCACACCTTATCCTTATGTAAAAACAAGAAAATAAAAATTCCCGAGGAAACAATTGTAGGAACAAGCTCATATTTGAAAGAGAATTGCAATACTATGATGGGTATTAGAAGCTTTTAAAATAAGCCAAGCAAGTGCTACCAATAATGACACACTTGGGAGCAATTAGAGGCCTTATTTAATGGGCACCAAAGGCAGGTGGATATGAATGTTAGATGATAGGAGTGTGGGGGGGTGGGCAGAGCAGATTATTTATAGGTTGTAGAAGTAAAGTGGCAGAAGAGGGAAGCTCTTCTGCTTGAGCAATGCTGGTTCTGAAGGGCTTGTTATTCCTCACACAAATGTAAAGAGTTGTCATGAATGTCTCTGTTGTATTTGAGGAAGCTGAGTTAGGAAAGCTGGGAAGTTATTGACCTGAGTGGATGGTCTTTAGTAGATCTTCAAATACAGGTGAAGTAAGGTGATACCCAAGGTAGCAAACAGATTCCTCAGAGAAAATGCTTTTCTGCTGCTTTACTTCAATTTTTTTTTCCCTCCCTGACTGTTGCATGTCTTGGGGTTATGGTGCGTGTGGTGGTGAAGATATTTCCACCAGTTGTTTTTTCTAACTTGAAGATACTATATCTAGCTGTATAGGGATAACTCCCTATTTCTTAAGTATGAAATAGGGAAATCATACCTCTTTGGCTACTGAAGGCCCTTAAGATTGTTCTGTTATCATAATCTTAACATATGGGGTAAGCTGGTTTGTGAAGGAGCAGGCTTGAAAATGTGTGGAAAACCAACTTATTTATTTTCTTCAGTAACAGCAGTCAACAAGTCTTCCATCTTTTAATTAAGTGTAAAATACTATGTCAAAAATGTGTATTTTATGCTTTCTATGGGTCTTAACTTCATTTGGCTTACCTTAGCTCCCATAGGAAAGCAGTGCTAGATGAAACTCCTGCATTATCCTAAGTCAATCTTTGTCTAATTGTAAGCAAATAAACTGAGGAAGAATCTCAAAACAAGTATTTCATATATGTATTTTTATTTGCTTGATTGGCACACAATAAGTTTAGTTATTAGTAGTGTTGCAGCTCACAATACAGTATTTTTTGAAGACTGAGGCTGGATGCCCCTTTGTGCATTTCTTCATATACCTAGAAGAAAAGGAATAGCTTTTATATAGCATCCTCTGCTATTTGTAATTTTGAAAGTGACTAATCTTTCAATTTAAATGCGTTCTTGGAGGGAACAAAGACTCGAAAACTCATGGTTCAGCTATCCATGTGATGGCTGAATAGGGTACAGTACAGCACCGTACCCCAGAGTGCTAATCTGTTAATTCTGCAAGGAGAATATGCCTTTCTAACTTAATGTTTTTAACAGCTGATGTTTACTGCCTTAAGTAACACGTTAGTTCATGCTATAACTCTGGAGCATAGGCAAGGAAAATGCAGAAGTAATAATCAATTTCCTCTTTTTGTGTTTTTGCTAAAATAAACCTCTGAAACCATCATCTTCCTGAATGTCATCTGAATTTCTCTGTCCTTACTGTACACGTTAAGTGGCCTATAAAATCTCTTGAAATTCAACTGGAATGATCTTTCTTACTTGATAGGCTGCTTTCAGTTTTAGAGCTTCCTATTTCCTTGGGCATCAAATATAACCAGATAGCATGGTGACCTCAAGCAATTGTGGTGAACATCAGAAGACATTGCAATCATATTAGCAGCGCCTAAATTATTCAGAGCACTCTCTGGTAAAATGGTGCTGCAGGACAATGAAAGCAAAGAACAATTCCCAGCAGATTAGATTTTTTTCCCCTTCTTGCTGTCTGTAATTATTTCTATCAGATAAGTTATTTGCTATGCAAGCTTACCTTCAAAAAGCATGTTTGTTAAAAAGAGAAAGGGGAAGAAATCCTTTGTAGGGTCCTGCACATGATTAAATGGCTTTAACAAAGCATAATGAATAATAATGACAAAGACCTGTCAATTGGAATGTTAAGCATTTTGTCTTGTGAATCAGAAGAGCAAATGATATCAAAATGATTACTTGTTGCAAATAACTGGGTATTTGCCAGTGCTGCTTATTGGTGAATATTACAGATGAGTTATTAGTTTGTGTATTTCTGTAAATAACACTTCAGTTTTAATAAACAGCATAGGCAAAACCAGTATAAAACTAGTGCCTTTACTAGCATGCTCTGCAGCTCTTTGAGAGGAACTATGGATCTATGGATTCTGTTCTTGGACAGCTCAAGAAAATGACTGTTCTTTCCTATTTTATATAGGACCTTAATGTTACTGATCTTAGGTAGTCAGAAATAGCCAGATGAGACTATAGTATTGAGACAAAAGTATATGTTAAGTTCAGCACTGCTACAGGAAAGACGACATGAGTACCACCAGTTTTTTTTTGTTGTTGCTGTTTAATTGTTTTTTTTTGGGGGGTTTTTTTTTGAGTGGTGATTATTGTTCTGTCCTCGGTATTGCATGCAGTAGGGTGGGAATTTGTGTAAGATTGCAGTGAATGAAATACTTCACTCTTTTTTGTCATTCTGGTAACTGGGATTTGACATAAGAAGTATATTAGACTAATCACTCACATTATTATATTTTAAATGCTTTTCTGACAGATGTCTTTCTGCATGACACCTTTACTTCATTCCAAGGATTAGTTTGGAGGGGAATCATTTTTTTGCTGTTGTTGTTCATGTTTTCTACTATATGAAGACACCAAGAGTAATATCGCTTCCGAATTACTGTGATTAATTTTTCACATTTCTATGCCAGGTACTGGGCAATATTAGGTGAAATGAATATGAGGGAGGAAAAAAATTTCTAAGCCGTGCTTATACCTGTTATCACTATGTACTTCAAAATTAAACAAAAAAAAAAGTTATAAAAATGCTTGGATATAAAACTATAGTAGACAAGAGCTGGAGAAAAGGCAAAAGGTGTTATAAAACTTCAGTTTCTACATTTTTTTTCTTAGGAAATATTCTTTTTTAAAGCCTATCTATTCAGGTAGGTCTATAGAGAAATGGCTAAGGGTCTTTTACTTTATCATGCTGACGATATTCATTAACAATGTCACTTTTTTTTTTTAAAGTCAGTGTTTTCTCTAAGAATTACTTTTTGACAATACATTATGTGGCTGAGGCAATTTTTAACATCTATTCCTCTTGTGTATTGTTTGAAAATGATAGTGTTGAATGTGCTACTGTTCTACTATTGGATATTCACTGTAGAAAACAGAAACATGGTGAATGCTACTATTACATCAGTGAAGAAATATCTGATGGATTTCTATTGAGGAACAGCTGACTAAAAGGGAGTTGAAGTAAGCGGAATGCTGTAAACAATTTCAGTAGGATGCTGGTTGGACGAGGTGGAAGAACAGTGTGTGTGGGCAGGGTACAATATTTTGGAGGAATTTTTAAGAAAGCTTGATTTTTTTCTAATAAAGAATAAGCATACCTATTCCTTGTGAATACAAATATTTTAGCAGGTGATGACAGGTCTATAGTTTTCCATTAATAACAAAGACCAATGAAATAACTTAGTGTGTGGAAATGTGCCGTAGATTTTCATAAACTTGGAACAGATTCCTGAATGCAGTATATTTTCTGGTTGGGAGGGGTGTTGGCATTTTTGCAGCATTGTGTATACTTGCTGTTGCAGAAACCACATCTGTTGGATTGAGGTGGATCTACATAAACCTCCATCCAAAAGTGAACTCCTGAAAGCAGCCATGAAACACTGACTCAATGGCCTATTTTTAATAGCAAATGAATAAGAGCTCCTCTAATTAGAGGACACTCAGTTGTTTGAGGACACGGTCCTGCTGTGACTGTCTCCTCTCTTAATTTAGTCTGAAGCCTATGGCAGCTTTTCTGTGTTTAGTTTCTCCAAAAAAGGAAGCCATCTCCTCTTCTAGCCCTTAATTTTTTTTTTTTTTTAAGGAACAGAACATGTGAACTAAGAGTAAACGATTCATGTGGGAGCCATGCATCATTCAGTCTGATTAATGCTTGTATAGGCTTCTTAGGAGATAAGTACTGTTTTATTAAATTCTCACTCTACTAATATCAGAAGACTTTGAGTTAAGCACTGGTCCGTGTAGGTTGACTATTTACTGCATGCTTCAAAACTTTTTTCCCTAAAATTTATCATGCTTCTTAGGCCCTTAAGATAAAAGGGCCTAAACTTAAGATAAAAGTTAAAAAACCTTGAAATATATCTTTAAATATTAACTTAACCTTATATTCTACTTCTGGGTTTCAGATATAGCAGTACCTCGTTATATACTGATTTATATTTCATGGAGGGCCATGAGATAAATTAAAAGCAGTAATTAAGTGTTGATTTAATTTTTTGTCAACAGTAGAAAATGTGAGTCACTTCTAAATACAGGTGAATGCCTCCTAGTATCTAAATACTAAATTCTGCTTTCTGATCATGTTTCTAAATTATAGGAAAATATAGCTGGGTCTGGAAATAAGTGATGATGAGCATTTTATGATAATAAGTGAAATCTTGTTTTCGGTTGAGTTGATGGGGTATCGCTGACTTGCCCTGCATCGCAGAGTGACAATGGATTTCTAGTATGACAGCACAAACAACTTCATGTGATTGAGTTCACTTAGTGATGTTGATTTAATTCACTGAAATCAGAGTGATAACAGTATTCTCTGTGTAGAAAACAATATGCACTCCTGATGCTATATACAAATGCTAACCATAACATGTTGAAACACAAGCTCGACAAATCATTTAAGCATTTACTTTAGCCTGCTCCACTGCAGCAAAACACTTGAGTACATGCCTAAAGGTATAGACATGCTCAAGTGCTTTTCTGATTAATGATGGACTGGAGCCCAAGTGTCTAATTTCAAGACTAACATTGTGTCTTATTACTAGATTGGAAGAATTACTCATTCTTGTACTATCCAGGGAGATTAACATCACATTTCATTTCCCTTTCTCCATGAATGCTGCAGATGCACATCAGTTGGGCTGAGCCATTGTGCTCAAGGAGCTTGGAAATGCTTACAATTGGAACGGCCATTGAA